TAACCATCGACAAACCGCTTTAGTTTATTGGGAAGTCAGACTAAAACAAGCTTTGGGTTTTAATAATTTTCCATTCGGTTGAGGCTTCAACTCCAACTCTTTCCGGTTACACCAAATTTTATATGTCTTGTCTAGCCTTCTCGTTATCTTTTGTTTTGTCTTTAACATCCATCACTCTGTTAAATACATTATCAAAAAAATTCTTCTCAATATGCATAACATCAAGAATATGGCGCAACAAATTATCTTTCTAATACGGGAGGTCCCAAAATATACTTCTTTTTGTCCAATTGTGTCTGACTCCATATCCTTCAATTCTACATACTTTGCCAGTATCTGTAAATTTTGGTAGTTCACAAACTTGGTTCCATATATCACCTGGTGACAATCGAGGCGGAGGCAGATCTAATACTCATTCGTCTTTTTTAAAATTTGTCTTATTTCTTCTATAGGGACGATTTGTTAGTAGGAATCTGCAGTGACAGTCAAACCACGAAAATGGTAATCTAGATAGAGATGAAAATGGTAAGGATGTTGAGGTAAAAAACTATAGAGGTATGATTGGATCACTTCTTTATCTTACCAAATCTAGGCCAAATATTGTGTTTGGTGTTTGTATGTGTGCACAATATCAATATGTTCCTAAGGAATCACATTTTAAAGTCGTTAAGCGCATTCTTAGATACCTCATTGGTACATCTAAGTTTGGGCTTTGGTATTCCAAGGGAAATGATTGTAGCTTGGTTGGTTATTCCGATTCTAATTTTTCCAGATGCAAATTGGAAAAATACTAGTGGAACTTGTCACATGTTTTCAAAATCCTTTGTAAGTTGGAATAGTAAAAAGCAAGTCTCCGTGGCTTTGTCAACCGTCAAGGCGGAATACGGGAAGCCAGTAGTTTTTGTGCATAAATTTTATGTCTTAAACAACGACTACTTGATTTTGATATTAAACTTTCACATATTCATATCCTTTGTGACAACACTAGTGCCATTAATCTAACCAAAAATCATGTACTACATTCACGCACTAAACATATTAAGATATGTCACCACTTCCTTCGTGACTATGTTGAAAAAAGGGATGTTGTGTTTGAGCATGTTGATAGTAAAAATCAACTTGCAGATATTTTCACTCAACCTCTCGCAAACGAACCTTTTGTCAATATACGTGAGGAATTGGGGATAATCGATATCTTAAATGTTGCTTAATTTTATCTTATTGCTTGCACTTTATACTTTCACTCTAACTTTGTGTTTGAGTATTTTACATCATATGAGTGCAACTTAAATATCAATCAAGAGCGATGTAATATCATTTAAATTTCTCCTTGAAAGTAAGATTTTCCTAGATGTATGTTACTAGTTTCTTCCAAAAATGCTTGATCTTTTCTCAAATGATGAAAATCATGAATGTTCATTTCCAATTTTTTTGATTAATAACCATAATGTGTTCTTGAGTCATATTCTTATAATGACCTCATGTATTAATTCTTCCACATTTGTATAAGTTTGTTCTTATCATGCTAGCTTGTATTTGTGTTTATTTTTTTTTTTGCACTTATGCTTGAATTATTTGTATGCACGTTATTTTAAATATATGTTTCTTGTTGTCTTGGTTTCATGTCATGAAAATTGTCTTCATTTTGGTTTTAGTAGTGACATATTCTTATTTCTATGCTAGGTACATGCGTGCGCGACATCGGGAGTCCCATTATAAAGCGTTACTTGTTCGTGATGCTATAAAAACAACTTGACATTATTGTCATTTATTGCTTATTTAGTATTTATAAAATTCATTACATTTTTTGTAATATTTCTTGCTCGCTATTTAAAGTTTTGCATCATCACATATACATGCGGATATGTGTTTGTTGCTTTTCTATGAAAAATAGCCCTTGATTGTTGTATTAGTCTTGTTATTGAACTATGTTACTTCTTATAGTTTTCTATCTTTATTTTTGATGTTTTCAAAGGGGGAGAAGCATATGCGAGTCGAAGTAGGGAAGCACAAAGTCAGGGGAGCCTTCAATATATACAAAGAATGCATCATCTCAAGTTTTGCCATCATAAAAAAGGGGGAGAATGTGAGTACAAACATCGTCGTCAAATGTTTTGAATGATGTCAAAACTGAGAAAAGCTTGCACTTCTGAACATTGGACGGTACTATTGTACCCCAAAATTTTCCCTCTCACTTATCAAGAATTTCCTCACAAGATCTCTTTGACTCAAGACTGCATTAGGGTTTGACCAGCTCAAGACATCTTCTCATGCACTGATGACCAAAATTAGGGTTTGAGTTTACACAAGGATTTTTGGACTATCAATGCTTCATATTACTTTCAAGGATCATTATGGACCCCCAGAGATTACTCATGTCAAGTTTCAAGTCTTGAATCACATTTTTGACCAGTCAATTGGATAGTTGACCTAAAAATTAGCTGTATTGGGGAAAAGTCAACCATGGTCAATTTACAGTCAAACTTCATAATTTTTTATCCACATCAACATCTTAGACTCACATGTATCATTTAATCAAGTTTGGACCATAATTCCTCAAGAAATTTGATTAAATCATCAAAAGGGCAAAATGGTCAAAATTAGGGTTTTGACTGAGAAAAGGGCAATTTCTGATTTTTGACCTAGAAAATGATCAATTGGTTTGAAGTATGATTTCAAGATTTCAATTGCATCATCTTGACCAAATAACATGATTCAAAACATTACAAATCCATTGGATTGACAGATGAATTTTTCAGTCAATTGATCAAAAGTCAACTCTATAATGAAAAGTCAAACTTTGACTTTTTGGTCAAAATCAAGTGCCAAAGATCATAATTCATCAAAACATGTCAAAATGTGAAACTTGTTCATCAAGAAATCAAGGATTTAAGATTTTGTTTTGAAAAGTTGAAATTTCTTAACTTAGAAATTTTTCTAAGTATAGAAAATTTCTTAATTTTTCTCAACTTTGAGCCAAATTTTCACCATGATGCAAGATGATTCAAAGGAAATTTCCAAAATTAAAGTTGTATATCTCCATAAAATCTACAACTTTTCTTCACACAATTTCTCCTAAAAATTCTTGGATCTCAAGATATAATTTTGTGAATACATGCTCATGAACTAAAAAAACTTAGTGAAATTTTGCCCTAGTTAGGCAGATTTTTGACCTAACTTCATGCCATTTTTTCACATAGTTCCAAAGGGAATTTTCAAAAGAAATTCAAAGATGAGTTGTAGAGCACATTGCAAGCTTTCCAAAATGTCAAATAACTCCTTAAGATCATTCTTGAGTAGGGAGAATCGAAGAGATGAAGTTGGTAATTTACCACTTGGATTTCAAGCCATTTCATGATGAACCAAAATTCAAATCCAAGCCTAGGCTGCATAATCTTTGCTTTTCAGGCCTCAAACTTGTTTCTCACTCCATAATTAAATGTTTACACAGCTGATAGAGCTTTAATCCAAGCACTTGAGCCTTTATCCAAGTTATAATTCCATTTTTGGCACAAAGTTGCCATTTCCATTTTGATAAAGCATTACTTTTGGAATTTTCCACTTCTTGAGCCTCTCGATTGTTTTCTTTGCACACAAGCAAAGTAAAAAACAAAAGCAATTTTCCTGAAGCCTCTGCCAACTCAGATCAGGCTTGTACAACACTTAGAGACTTGTCTCCTCACTTTTCTTCAAAAGCAAGTTATAGAGCCAAAAGGCTATAACTCAGAAATCTAGAGTGAAGTTGATCTCAAACCTTTTCCATACATATACACAAATGTATTGCAACATAGGACACGAATGCTAAGACTCAGAAACACTCCCAAACACTTTTCCATTGAAAATCTTCCATAGCTTGACAGTTTTGAACCTTACTCACACTACAAGAAAATTAGTGTTTAACGACACAAAAATTGCGACAGTTATGTGATAACTGTCGTAATTGACATATAGAGACAATGTTTACGACAATTGACACCAACCGTCCCTAATATTTATTTTGCGACGGTATATTTAACCATCATAATATTATTATTACGACGGTAAAACAACCGTCGGCCCCCATTTAACACTTTTAACATTGATTTTTCACCAACAACTAGTCACGACGGTAAAATTAACCGTCCTAAAAGGCACATCACGACGGTAAAGCACCCGTCGCACCCTTAAACCTTTCACGACGGTAAAATTATCCGTCCTAAAATTCATTTCACGACGGTAAAACAACCGTCGCACCTAAAACCTTTAAAAATTCTCATGGGCACGACGGTAAAACACCCGTCGCCGTAAAAAAGTTAAAAAGCTCATAAAACATCCATTCACTTTCTACTCCTGCTTTCACTTTTTCTACTCACGGTGCCGTTCATGCCGTTCTTCTTCACACCGAAAGAAACCCCTTGACACCGAAAGGAATCTCTTCAAACCGCTCATCTTCACACCAAAAAACGCACAGCAAGCAGTTTAACATCCTCTGCGTTCATCTCTTCAAACACAGTAAGTTTTATGTATCACTTTTTGCATTGTTCTCATCTCTCTCATTCTCTGCCATTGATTTTAGCATTGGAGATTCACTTGAATCTTATGGTTGAGCTCTTTTTGATGATTGATTTTGAGTTTGAATATATTGAATTGATGTTAGGTTTTCTAATTTGTTGTTTTAGGGTTTTATTTCTTTTTATGATTTTTTAGGTTTTCTAATTTGTTGTTTTAGGTTTTGATTTGATTATTAGATTAAATATGTCGCTGGACCGATTAGAATCGATGAAAACTAATATAAATTGGTGAAATAAAAAAAATTGCCTATTTTCTTAAACAATGATTTATCAGTAATGAAGTTCTTTTTTGGAGGAATTGCAACTTTGTATGCATTTGGTGTTTGTGCTTCATCATCTAAAGGCGATATCTGGTTTCTTTCTGTATCTTTATGAGTTGGAGAATCCATTGGAGATATCAACAGTGACCTTCACTATGTTATGTTATAGAGAGAAAAGTCATAACCAGTGATGGCAATAAAGTCTAACTGTAACATTAAATTAGAATATGATATGGTTCAGACAAAGCAAGATTGCTTATGTGTTTTGGTTTCTTTCAACCAAAGTTCTTACTGGAAGAAGAAGCTTCCACTATCTTATGGAAGAAATGATCAAGTAGTAAAAGGAATTTCTGTCATGAAATTGATGAAAAACGATCCTTTTTCTTCCATTTCAAATCAAAAGAAATATCATGAAACTTTGATTATTGTAATTTCGGTTCTTTTAGGAAGCTCTATGCTTGTCATTGTGACATTACTTGGAGCAATGTTTTTTGGGTTTCCTTACAACCGCAAGAAGATAAAAAGTTGTAGAACCAACAAAAATGTTGTTGACAATAACTTGCGCAATTTTAGCTTCAAGGAAATCGTTGAAGCAACGAGTAACTTCAGAGAGGAACTTGGAAGAGGGTCTTGTAGCGTTGTGTACAAAGGAACAATAGAGATGATGGTTGATGTATCCGTTAAGAAACTTGATAAGTTGCTTCAAGATAGTGATAAGGAATTTCAGACCGAAATGAGTGTGATAGGACAAACTCATCACAGAAACCTTGTTCGTCTTCTTGGATATTGCAATGAGGGACAACATCGGATTTTGGTTTACGAGTTAATGAGCAACAGAACTTTAGCAAGCTTCCTTTTCACCTCTTTAAAACCAAATTGGAACCAACGATTCCAAATTGTTCTTGGAATTGTTAGAGGTCTTGTATACTTGCATGAAGGATGTTGCACCCAAATCATCCATTGTGATATTAAACCCCAAAATATACTTCTAGATGATCACTACAATGCTAGGATTTCAGATTTTGGGTTAGCAAAGCTATTGCTGATTAATCAGAGCCACACCGAAACTGGAATTAGAGGAACCAAAGGGTATGTTGCGCCAGATTGGTTTAGGAGTGCACCAATCACTGCAAAAGTTGATACTTATAGTTTTGGTGTATTGTTGTTAGAGATCATTTGTTGTAGGAAAAATGTAGAGAAGGAATTTATTAATGAAGAACAAGGGATTTTTTACTGATTGGGCTTATGATTGCTATAAGACTAAAAGACTTGACAATCTCTTAGAAAATGATAATGAGGTCGGAAATGACATGATGAGTTTGGAAAAGTTAGTCATGATTGTTATTTGGTGTATTCAAGAAGATCCTTCTCTTAGGCCAACAATGAAGGAGGTTTTACTGATGTTAGAAGGAATAGTCGAAGTTGTTGTTCCCCGAAGTCCCTATCTTTATGGTTCTGTAAGTTGTAATTAAAATTAAAATTTCTTTTGAATATTTAGCTCTCATTCATATCATATCACAGAAATTAAATTGGATTTTATTATTAAGCTATGTTTTGCTTTTTCTTTTGCACTTAACAAATAAGGTATCTATTGATTCAGACACATATTCAGACACAATAAATTCTAAGAAAACCCAGAAAGCTATTCGGGTCATGGAGATTTTGGAAAAGCACGGCCAGGCTGATGTTTTTGCGTATGAAGCACTTTTAAATGGGTACTGTAAAGCTGATATAGTTGATGCTGCCAATAAGGTGCTTGATAGAATGAAAAAGAGAGGTTTTTTACCTGATGTTGTTACTTATAATATTCTCATTGGGAGTCTTTGTGGGAGGGGTTACTGTGATCGGTGGATCTGGAACTGACTGTTTAACGCTGGTTCGCGAAATGTCGCGGAAGCAAGAGTCGCCACCGTCTTTTATTTTCTCCAAATGGAAAGGACAAAAGCACAGAAAAATTCCTTAAAGAGATTGCTCTCGGTTCGGGAGGTAGGTTATAGAAAGGGAAGGTATTAGCACCCTTTCTATCCATGGTTATCCATGGGCTCTTAGATACTTGCTCATTTGTGTTTTCAAAAAATGGTTTGTTTGCTCTTCAATGTGGGTTTAAAAAAGTTTCCTTGAAAAATTTCAGTTCGACTCGTACGTCAGAGTGTTTGAAAAATTTGCTTTGAAAGCTTTTGAAAAGTGTTGGTGTGAAAAGATTTTTGTTTGTTTTTGAAGAGAGCAAGTATCTACGAGAACCTACCTACCCTAAGGAATTCGTCTGTGTAAATGTCCTTTAAAGTAATGCCATCCCACCATTGAGAGGTAGGTAGCACCACCGTTGGAGGTGTTCGGGTCAATTCGAGTTTGTAGGGACATGGTGATCACCAGAGCAATGGGAAGACACCTTAGAAGCTACCCTCATGCCAGGTTCCCGGATCATGAGGACTTACTAAGACATCCTCTACTCGACGACCACCTTTCGAAGGCAAGGCAACAGTGAGGCGTACCCTAGGGGTGGTGTGTGCGAATTGTGTGTCGTTTTCATTGATATTTGTCTTGTTCATGTTCATTGTGATCTACGCTTAATTTTATTTAAGGCCATTCATTCTTGCATGCTTATTTAACAGTTAAAAGTTGCGGGAAAATAAATCTACAACTATTACAAATGGCGCGAGTCCACATCGCCAAAATTAAATCGGACCCGATTTGACGGAAAGTAAATAAAGCGAAAGAAATAAAAGTGCGAGCAATTGTTTACACGGCTTTGGGAGAGATACATAATTATTTGAGCGAAATATTAAAGTTTAACTTAATTTAGTAAAGAATTTATGTACATGTTTATTTACAAAATAAATTGGTAATTAATATTAATAAAATAAACATTTTTTTGATTTTTCTGTATTTTATATTTATTATGAAAATTATTTTATGGAATTAAAAGAAAACAATTAAAAAACAATTAAAAGAATAAAAAGGAAAAACAAATAAAAATTAAAAATTGAGCAAACCATAGGGGGTGTCTGGCCCAAGGGGAGGTTTTTTGAAGTATTGACTCCGTGGTCTGCATTCTTTGGCCATTGGATTGAGTTTCATGCATAAGTTGTTCTACTTTGGCCAATTGGCTTTTGGCTTTTGGCTTTTGGCCATTTGTGTTATGGCTTCAACGTTCCCTTAATCTCTGGCTTAATGTCTGCCTCGCCATGTATTGGTGTCATGCATAAGTTTTTCTAGTCTGGCCATTTGGCTTTTGGCTTTTGGCCTCAACGTTCCTTAATGAACCTGCCTGGGATCCTGTCTAAATCTGCAGTGTTGAATCTCACAAATACATCAAATAAAATCATAAAATGCAAATAAAGCCAATATATGAAGAAATTTAATGTTTAGGCACAATATGGCATGTATGAATGATTATACCCTTTTGATCATGGAGATCAAATCAACCTTACCCTTACTGGAAAAGTAGTGACATGAATGCTTTTATGCCCTTTGGATCATGGAGATCAAGCCAACCTTACCCTTACTGAAGAAGTAATAAGATTTTGGTTTGTAACTGAGATGGCCTTGTTTGTAGTGAGAGAGGGATTTGTAATAAGGATTTCAAGGTTTTAGGGTTCTTGAAAGAGTTTGATATTCCAACAGTGTTGTGGCAAGGTTTTTTCTCTCTTTTTTTCTTCCCTCTTTTTTCTTTTTTTCTCTTCTCTTCTTTTTCTCCCCTTTTTTTTTCTCTTTTTTTTCTCTTCTTTTTCTCCTCTTTTTTTTTTCTCTTTTTTTTCTCTTTGGTTTGTGTGAAAAGAAGGTGATTATATAATGGAAATTAGGGTAAAGCAAATGGGCTTTGAATGTGCAATTGGGCCTCCAATATTCACTTGAATTCGTCACTTTCCAGGCTAAATCGCAGGGACTTAAGTGCATTTTTTGAAGTTGAAGTGTGAAAACAAAATGTAGCCGACATCGAGAACTAACTCCTGTCCGAAAATCGACTCAATCGGATAAACGGTGAATTAGTTATGAATTTTTGAAGTTTCAGCTCAGACATGCTTATTTTGGGCTCCAGTGTCGACTCTGACACGTTCTTCAATAAAAAACTGGTATTGATCGGTGCATAATCCGGTCTCGACTTTTGAAGCAAAGTTGTAGATCTACGAGTCAGGGACCTTGTGTAAAAATATGAGCCCAATCCGATAAAAATTGACCGAGTTATGAATTTTCGAAGTTTCGGCCCAGATGAAATAATATTCAGCATTCAGGATTTTCAGCGCGTCACGCACTCTGAGCAAAAAACGAAGGCCTTTTGAATACCGTTTGAACTCAATTCCTTCTGTGAAAATGTAGTCAACTCAATTTGTGAAATTTTGGCGCCGGAACCAGCTCGATACGATGAAAATCGACCAAGTTATGATTTTTTGAACATGACGCAAATAAACTTCTGTCACAAATTTTCTGCACGAAAATACCTGATAAATCCACATTTTTGAAGACCTTCTGATCGAAATTGGCTTCCAGCCGTGAGAGATGAAAACGTAGATGATGTCAAGACGGAATTTTGGCCACCGGAACGGGTTCAAAACAAGCCACGATCTTCAAGTTATGAATTTTTTAGCGCGTAAAAACTGCACTTTCAGCACACTTTTTCACCATATTTCTTCAAGAAAACTCGCACATTTAGATACCTTCTTTAAAGAATTATCTCTTGAGCCGAACCTGAATTTGAGAATATGTTATCAGAGATATCTTGGCGAAAGAATACCTGAATATGACGCGCCGGGTTGGACTTGTGAATTTTTCTTGGAATATTTTGAGAAATATGGGAGGGCAAATTTTGGGGTACAACAGTTGCCCCTGTTCAATCTTCTTAGACCTGAGGATGCAGATTGGCTGACGTGCCTTTCGTAAGCCGAGGGTGGAAGATGATTGAACACTTAGAGTGCCCAGAAATTTGCGCTCACATAGTAGTGTGATGGTGGGAATGGGCTTATAGATGTCATTTAGAGGTTGCTGGATAGGATGATGGGCTTATAGATGCCATCTGGATGTTGATTGCGTAGGAGATTCCTTAGCGAGTACCTGCATACCTGCAAAAGAACAAATGAGTACCTGACACGTTGCAGGAGTTGGTTTTCAGATGCTTGGTATAGATGTGTCCTGACTGGTTACAGGAGCTGAGTCTGGAGCTTCACATGACGATGAATGAACCAGGGATGATTACTGCCTTAGCATGAATGGTAAGAGAACCTTGGGCGACTTTAACTTCAACAACGCTCGTTGAGAAAATCTTGGGTGTCTTCTACTGGGATAAGAATCAGGGAGATCTTAGGGTCGATCTGACTGAACCAGAGGAGGTTTTTTTGATAAGGATGTGATGAAGGAATCTGAGACGATTGCTACTCCAAATCTATGATGAAGGAATCTGGGACGATTACGACCTCAACAGAATGATGAAGGAATCTGGGACGATTACTACCTCAGCAGGATGATGAAGGAATCTGGGACGATTACTACCTCAGCAGGATGATGAAGGAATCTGGGACGATTACTACCTCAGCAGAATGATGAAGGAATCTGAGACGATTACTACCTCAGCAGGATGATGAAGGAATCTGGGACGATTACTACCTCAGCAGAATGATGAAGGAATCTGGGACGATTACTACCTCAGCAGGATGATGAAGGAATCTGGGACGATTACTACCTCAGCAGAATGATGAAGGAATCTGGGACGATTACTACCTCAGCAGGATGATGAAGGAATCTGGGACGATTACTACCTCAGCAGGATGATGAAGGAATCTGGGACGATTACTACCTCAGCAGGATGATGAAGGAATCTGGGACGATTACTACCTCAGCAGGATGATGAAGGAATCTGGGACGATTACTACCTCAGCAGGATGATGAAGGAATCTGGGACGATTACTACCTCAGCAGGATGATGAAGGAATCTGGGACGATTACTACCTCAGCAGGATGATGAAGGAATCTGGGACGATTACTACCTCAGCAGGATGATGAAGGAATCTGGGACGATTACTACCTCAGCAGAATGATGAAGGAATCTGGGACGATTACTACCTCAGCAGGATGATGAAGGAATCTGGGACGATTACTACCTCAGCAGAATGATGAAGGAATCTGGGACGATTAATACCTCAGCAGGATGATGAAGGAATCTGGGACGATTACTACCTCAGCAGGATGATGAAGGAATCTGGGACGATTACTACCTCAGCAGGATGATGAAGGAATCTGGGACGATTACTACCTCAGCAGGATGATGAAGGAATCTGGGACGATTACTACCTCACTCACCGTTGGAGAGGGGACCATAAGAGACTATCACCTCACACTCATCGTCGGAGAGGGAAACATCTGAAAAAGGACTTACCACCTCACTCGCCGTTGGAGAGGGAACCATAAGAGACTATCACCTCACACTCATCGTCGGAGAGGGAAACATCTGAAAAAGGACTTACCACCTCACTCGCCGTTG